GGGTTAGGTTAGGGTTAGCATTAGAAGACACTAGATGAACACTCAAAAAAAAAAAAAAAAAATAAAAGCCCACACAACAGCACACTTCCACCCCTTGAAATAATGGACTGTCAGGTCAGCTGTGGATTTCCCACGGGTATTTCGTGTTTGGGGTACGTTATAAATTAAGAACCAAGGATAGCAAAGGACCTTTTTCCACGCCTTTAGGCATATAGGGCATATAGAGCTAGACCTTTGTTGTATAGACCAATCGGCACAAATGGGTAATGTGGTTATCATCACGCCGGCCGCCTTTACTTCCCGGGACAGCACCCAGTACCCACTCAAGGCTGGGTCGACCTGGGATCCAAGGCCATTTTTTTTTTTTAAAGTCCTGCTCCGCCAGGGAGCAAACCCACTACCTTTCCATCCGCGGCGAGAGTCTAGCCGCTCCGCTACAGCGACTCCCCGGGTTATGTTAGACTGGTATTTGTCTAGACCAGTCTATACTTGATGCTTGATATTGTCAACAGCACCAAAAACATGGAAACTGTCACCTCCAAATAACAACAGAGCATAGCTGCAAGAACAAGTGTGTTTTTGATAACATGAGATTATGTAAAAACTGCCTTCAGGAACGAAACGTCAAACGAGTTCAGTTTCTTTAGTTTGCGAGGTAAATGGATTGACCACGCTGTGTGGCTGGTCACTCTTTTGTTTTCAACTGTTGGTACAAACGACAATTTTTTTTAGTCATCGTCTCCCCCCTCGACAAGTCTCCAGCAGGCTTGTTGACTCAGGGGAACTCCTTACAAATGTTTTTTTTTTAAAATAAAGGTGGCTTCAAGTGCTTAGAAATAATAAATAATAATTAATGACATTATGAATAATATAACAATAAAATCTAATAATAGTATACCAATAGATAACCAGTGTTAATTTCGTATAATATATACACCCAAATACACATACACACACGCACTTACAAACATACATACACACACGCACTCACAAACACACACGCACACACACACAAACACACATACCCACACGCACTCACAAACACACATACACACACGCACTCACAAACATACATACACCTTCGCACTTACAAACACACATACACACAGGCACTCACAAACACACATACACACAGGCACTCACAAACACACATACCCACACGCACTCACAAACACACATACACACACGCACTCACAAACACACACGCACTCACAAACACACATACACACACGCACTCACAAACACACACACGCACTCACAAACTTTAAACAAATAGAACTTCTGTATATGGTGGGTGGTTTGGAAAAGTGGGGGGTGGGGCCGTCTTAAAGTAATGTGTGCAAAGGAAGAAGGGTGGGGGAGCTCCCTATCATGCATAGACCCCAAAGCTCTGCTGCCCCTGGTGTCTAGACCGTTCTGCTGAAAGTGACGCACATCAAAAATAACCCAGCTTCTCTTAATCCATTTGTATAATCCTCTGTTATGAATTCAGGCGGTATGCTCGTCGAGATCAACCACTAGGACTTGGCGGCAGCTGTGACTATTGTACGCGACAGAAGTTTTTAGACTGAACTTTTCGATAGTATATACAATATTTCCATAATACATTACATTCTTCAACATTAAATCAAACGTTTTGATATAAGAACACATTTTTGAAATTCTATCAGACTCTGTGATAATAGATACACATACACATACACTCACAAACAAACACACACTCACAAACACACACACTCACAAACACACAAACACACACGCACTCTACCCATTCATTAGTTAGAGAGTTTCGAACTTAGATCAAACGACTCGACAAATAGATCAAACTTTTCAACATTAGATCAAATTCGAGATATCACACTTTTTTTACATTGGAACACGTTTTGGGCATTAGATCAGATTTGTGAACATTTTACTAAAACTATGTAACATTAGATCGATACTATATACTATTTTACGATACTATATACTATTTTACGATACTATATACTATTTTACGATACTATATACTATTTTACGATACTATATACTATTTTACGCTACTAGATTCGAAGAAATGACTTGCATTTAGAAACAACGCCCTCCCCCCCCCCCCCCCCTTTTCCTCCCCATTATTAGCTATGAAAGCAGACAGACCTGCAGAATTGGCTAGAGAAAGAGATACTTCCAGACATTCTGTGAAGAGAGCGACGTTCTGTAAAGGACATTCTGATTATTTGATTGATTACCTGATTCCAATTTAAGACTGGGTCAACTTCAGAGCTATGGTCAATTTTGACAAACTAAAAGAAGTTCCAGTAACTGCTGTTGCTGTACTGTTCGTCTGTCATCTTCAAGCGGGTATTGAAGCTCTCCAACGCAATTCTTGTATATATAAAGTAATAACGGGTTTAAAGAAGAATATATAAACTAGTTTATCCCCGACAGGATCAAGTCTTTCTTCAAGGCTCAGGCGACGTGAGCGCCAATGTATGGACATGACGGGTCAGCATCCCTAGGATTTACAAACAATCATGTCTGTATTGCATTGGTGTTTGTGTTGTTAGTGTCTCTTGTTCCCTTGCAGTGGTTGAGATGACAGTACAGGATTTGGAGCAGCGGGTCAAGCAGCTAGAGGACGATCGACAGTCCAACACAGCATCCATGCAGGATATGAAGAAGGCGGTGGATAGTTGTGTGGAAGCCAACAAGTTTGTGAAGGAAGACATCGCGGCCCTACAGAAGAAAACTGATGATCTTATGAACACTATCACGGAACTTAACAAGGAGGTAGGATGTTGGAGCATACTATTGGTAGAATGCATCTATTAAAATCTCCGTCTTCTTCTAGCACTGTAGCCCCCGTGATTAAGATTGTAAGTACTTCTTCTTCTTCACTTCCTCTCTTGTTTTCAATCAGTTCGAGTATGGAGGGAGATATAAGATTTTGGCGCCTGTTGTTCTGGCAACCTCGACAATAGACGCGTCAATCGGTTGTATAATTTTTCCAATGTTGTCCATGCACTTTGTTCTTGGTCTACCCAGAACTCTACTTTAGTGTCCGCTTTCGCTATATGCTTTGTACGGTTGAGTGTAAGTACGATTTGGAGAAATTATCTTGTATGTATGTATCTTGTTGTTGTAACTGACATTGACATCCCTGTCCATCCGGACTAAAATTGGGAGCAGGAATTGTAATGGGTAGTGAATGGGGCTAGTGTAATATTTACCACATCATCCTTCAAGTACCAGTACAACTACTACTACGACCACCACCACAGTAGCTAAAATAATGTCACTGCTATCTGTTTTAACATAGGAGTAGACAGGAAGTCGTGAGCCAGAAGAATTTGTGCCGCATAGCTAGTAATGTCGCCACGGACTGGTCAGGTTAGGATGTATAATTTTGCTTCCCGACAGAAGAACGCCATAACCTTACCGGCGGTCTTCACATGAGAGCACTACGGTGTAACAGCCCAACCACAACTACTACAGCTGCTGCTACTTTGAGTGGGTAAAGCAGTTACTGTGACTTTGTGCTCTCTCAGTACACAGTTTGCACCCCCCCCCCCCCCAAATTCACCGACTACTCTTTCCTTCATTGAAGTAGTTGGGAGGGGAAAAAAACAATTGAAAAGCAAATGAAAACAGGAAAAATACACCATAATTAGGAAATGAACGCCATGGTAAACAGCACAGCTTAAAATTCCAACGCAGATGAAATAATTAAATCTAAATGAAAATAAATGGAAAGCTATGAAATTTCAGCGTAACCATGCAATTGTAAAGTTTGAAAATGAAATCATAAGTATGCGAAATGGTCAAATTTAATTATTAACTGATTTACCCACATACCTGCCTTTTTTTTTTTTTATTTTTTTTTTTTATTTTTTTTTTTTTAGTATTAAGGGCCACATGGCTAGTGCTGTCGCCACGACAGTGCAGGTGAGGATTTTATTTTAGCCCCTAGTAAAAAAAACACTACTGCGGATTCGAACTCTGGCCTCCCAGACAGGAGCCCAGTGTTCTAACCATTCGACTAAGCAGCCACTTTATCGGAGAAACGAAAAGAGAACAAAACTATTTGGGATATGTGTCCCTACTACAGTGTCCCGATTATAATACAACTCAAAACAGCAGGCAATTTTTTTCTCATAGACAGATATTCCAGATATATTATTGAAACGGCACAACAATAGAAATCGCACGTGTCTAACACGGTTAATATCGCAGTCAATGTCTGCGCCGACGTCGAGATAGGCCTTGATGCCTCCCCCCCCCCCCTTTTCCCTTCCAATTCATCGGCTACTTTCCAACTCATCGAAGGTTGTTTGAAAAAAAAAAACAGAAAAAAGAAATCGTGTTTAATATGGTTATTGTGGCAATCATTGCCTGCACAGATATAGAGATAGTCTTGTTTGCTGTACCACGGCCTACTCTATTAATTATAGAAGGCGTGGGCTGTACGTATCTCGCAAGTCTTGCGTTCTGACTACGGCGCATGCGCATTTACTAACGTGGCTATAATTAAATGTCACTAAAAATGTAAATATTAGTTTCGAAGATTTCCCCAAAAATTGTCGCACACTATCTCTAACAATGACAGGTTGAATTTCAAACCATGATGGGTGAACATTAGGTATCAAAACAAACATATCCTTAAAATTTCAGCTAAATCGGTTCAGTAGTTTCCGAGTCTATAGCTCATAAACAAACACACAAACATTTATTTTTATATATATAAAATAATATAAATCAACGTGTGCCGCCTCCACAATAAAGGTTAGCTGCAGTGCAGACACTTCTGATTGTGTGAAAATTACCCGATGACGCCCCACTCATTTGCATGACCCGATTCTGGTACCGCTGTACAATAGCCGAGAGAAGGAATATTAGGTAGTGACGTCTCAGTCTCTTGCACGGTGTGATTCTCCTACCGCTATTCATGAGCCCGCGAACGGTTAACTGTATTTTAAAAAAAACTACCGTCTACTGAACTCCCCTCCGAGTACGTCAAGGATTATAAAACAAAATCACTAAACTTTAACCCATAGATTCACATTTGCCCATTTTTAGCCCTTGCAAGGAAATGACCGACTTATATTTAAACTTTAACCTTTGACTTATGATGTCAATCAGGAAACACTGGTAGGTATCGGGATGTGTGGTTCTGGCTCGCCTACTAGAAGCATTCTGTGTTTCTTGTTCCTTTTTTTTCCATGTCGTAGGAGTCGACTAACTGGGAGCTTCTTTTAAGTTGGAGTGCATCTGCCTGATAGGCAAGGAACCAACAGTCTGCACACAAATGTATCAGATCTGTCAAACGGATGCACACGCAACACTCAGGTTCTGGAACAGAACTGCAGTCCAGAAGTAGACTAACACCTAAACTATCCACCTGAGTTTACAGCTGGTGAAAGCGAAGAAACAGAAAAAGAAGAAGAAGAAGATTCAGACAGATTGTGGATAGAGCGAGGTTCTACAAAAGGCCTCTGTGTGATGGTTAACATCTATCTCAATTTTATCCTTCTGTCTGGTTTTTATGATGTCGTTTATTTTCAGTTGACTGCAATATTTCACAGACAGTGTTTACACATACATAATACTACATTTATTTTAAGCACTAATGTCAGTAAAGTTATTTATTTATATTGTGTATACATTATTTACTTATAGCTCAGTATCATTATTCTACGTTTGTTTTGTACTTCCATCAGAGTTTATGCTATTCTTCGTCCCCATGTGGGATGCAATTGTTCGTTATCTCGAAGGCCCTTTTCTTTCGTCTACTCATGGAGTGCGTCGCAGTTTCAGGGGATGCATATATCTCTGGAACGGGCCCTTTTGCTTCCTACGTATATAGTACTTGTCAGTGTCTCTGCGTTATTTGTTATTTCTGCGGTCCATCTTCTACGTGGTCGACCTCTGGATCTGTTAGGGTTAGTGTTAGGGTTAGGGGTAGGGTTAGGGGTAGGGTTAGGGTTAGGGTTAGGGTTAGGGTTAGGGTTAGGGGTAGGGTTAGGGTTAGGGGTAGGTTATTAGTGGCCGTAGTTATAAGGAGTACCAATACCCTAACCCTAACCCTGTTATGACAGCAGTGAATCTATCGCCAACACACAGTAATTACGTCATTGGTTCACGCTGTCTATCGCCAACACAGTAATTACGTCATTTGTTTCGTTCCCTCTTTTCCACTCTGTAATTGCGATGCGGCCAAGGGACTGAACTCAGGCGTACTCCATAATACGTGGCCGTAGTTTAAAGGAGAACCTGTGTGTACTATTGCTCTCTGTGGTGATATTTGTAATGCCAATTTTGTTACATAGTTAACTATTTGAACAGCTGTCTACCGATAAAGTTCAGTATTGGTTCTCTGCCGACTCTCGTGGTGATGAAATAGTTCCTGAGTCGACCTTTCATCGTTGCACCCAGCACTCTTCAGTAATAACTACACATCTGTTGAGCCCGTCTTCTCTGTAGAGTAAATGGTCAAGGACCATTCCACGTTAGCTTTGTTGGAGGCATATTGTGCTAACCCCATATTGGTATTGCCAATCGATTCTTGATGGGTCTTAGGTTCAAATCTCTAGCAGTGCAAATTTGAAAAAAAAAATTTACTAAGATGTTCTAGACCGACGTAGCCTAAAGTGGATACATAGAAAGGTACTGGAAGGTAAAGGCGGCTGCTATCTTTTTGAACATATAACCCATTGAGTGCCTATTGATGAATAGAACAATAAATCTTGTACCAAATTCTCCAAGTGTCGATAGAGTCGACATAATCCTTTACTAACTGTATCACCGTATGCCAAACACGGGCTAATTCTTATAACAAGATGTGTTACTTAGAAGTAAAACCTGGTTAACACGAACTTGATTAAGAAGAATACTCATGTAACATGAATAACGTTAGGCCCTGCATGGATGTCGTTTGTTTTTTATTAGTGATGATTAATTAGTGAGGTTTCTCTTCACAGCACTCCGGACAGATCCATATATGCTCCAAACTCTTTGCTAAAAACTCCAGAAGCGCAAAACAATTTATGATGACTGTTCTGTGTTGACTGATTAAACGTCTTGTCCACTTAGTGAAATGTTCATTTCTTGCAGCCCGATGTTTCATCTACATGGCCTTCATTTTAGACACGGATACGGAGTCAAGTTCTTTGCTATATAAGTTTTCGCGAGACATGCTGCTCATGGCGTCGATAACGTCGCTTCTCTCCAATACAGGACCAGCTAAAGCACCCGCAGTACCAGCAAAACATCTGCACGCTCTTTATCTCGAACACCCGCATGTTTGAGTCTAGAGTGAGCACAAATATTTAAACACGGTTTTATTATCGGTGTCTTAGATTTTCTGGCATGATTTTGCTGCGTTTGCAACCTGGCAAAAACGCTTAAATTTGAAATACGTGACTTGTAATGATCCCTTTATGTGTGCCCGTTATTTCAGGTGAGCAGTACCAGATTGTCCACTGGCGGCGATAGCCAAAAGAAACCAGACCCCAGGCGTATCGGTGACCAGGTCAGAGCTCTAACTATTGGTACACGTTTTCTGTTCTTTGACCTGACAGAATCACATTTCAAGCTATGAGTCATTTTGATTACATGTAGGCATACTGACAATCACTTGGTGAAGAAGTAGTAGCAAAAGTTAAGAGTACTAGCAACAGTAGTAGTAGCAGCAGTAGAAATAGTAGTAACAACAGCAGCAGCAACAGTACTAGTAGTAATAGCAGCAGCAGAAACAGTACTATTACTAATAGCAGCAGCAGCAGCAGCAACAGCAGCAGTAGTAGTAGGAGAAGAAAAGCAGCAGCAACAGCAGCAGTAGTAGTAGGAGAAGGAGTAGCATCAGCAGCAACAACAATAGTAGTAATATTACTTCCAGAGAAGGAGAAAACTGGAGTACATCTTGACAGTAGACAAGTTAGAGGAAAAGAGAGGCAGAGGGAGGCCGAGAGAACAGATGCTGGACAGTCTGACATCACGGCATGATGGATTATCTATGTCAGAGTTGACTGAAAGTACACGAGACAGACAGCAAGTTGTGGATAGACATGAATACCAACGCCACACGACATAAACTTGAATAAGAAAGTACTGAAATACAGTGGACTTCCAACCTTTTTGTGGTGACATAGCATAAATGTTCTATTTAGCAGTACGGTTAAACGAGGTTTTCGGAATTTGCACCTGTTGGATTCTCAACCTTGATGTGTTAACCCTTGCACTGCTTTCCTTGAGTGGGGAGGGAGGAGGGTTGCTTTCATTTCCATTTTGTGTGTTTAGTCCAAAACAAGGCAATAAGAATGTTCATAGATGCTTCCCTTGTTTCCAACAGTATGCTGAAGGAGACCCTCGTAGTGATGAACTCTTCAGACTGAACGCTAGAATCGACGAGCTGATCACAAACCAACTCCATGCCCTGGCTAAGAACTTCAAGGAGCTGCGCGATTACGCGAGTTACACGCGCGAGAGACTGTTTTCTCTTGAAAATGTCAGGGGATTACACGAGAAACGTCTGAAAACATTGGAAGATTTTGAATGGATAGGTAAAATTCCATCCAGCAAGTGTGACGTCCAATCGTACATCTAACCACATGACCGCATACGAAAATCAAAGCAAAGATTCTTCCATTAAACAGTTTATTCAAATAGTTGTTTCCTACACCCATCCATCCATCCGTCGGTCTGTCAGTCCGTCTGTCTGTCCGCCAACTTATCTACTCATCCATTAATCCATCCACCAACCATACATCCATCCATAATTCCTTCTGTCTGTTTGTCTAACTGTATGTCTGTATATCTATATGTCGAGTTTAATAGAGAGTGGTATGCTACTAAATCGGGCGGAGACGAATCGAACATAGTATGTCAGAATTATTCAGAAGCTTTTATAACCTCAAAGCTACAAACACCTAGGATACAGACAATATTTATAACTTTCTATAGAATTTAAGATCACATTATTTCCAACAAATATTTGCATTTGTCTTGCTAGAAGCCAATACATGCAAGTTAACAATCGGTTGATTCTTGGACCAGGGCAAGAAAAAGTACTGACATTTAAAGGATATTAACTGTATAATCCTCTAATTTAAGAGATCCACGTTTTGCATCTGAAAATATCTAGAAAAGTTCGAAATTTTAGACACCATAGTACACTTCGATGTGGCAGCCATTTGTAGCTATGGTGATATCTAGGCAGTATTCGATCGCCTGTCACGTCTTCTCAGTCGTATCCAGAGTTATAGTTGCAGTTGTTGCAATGACCCTCTCTTCAAGAAGCCGGATGTTCCTTATCTTCTCAGCGCCGTTTTTGGGCTCATGGTCACCCACGAATACACGAGACTTAATACTTTTCTAAACATTTTAAGACGCCACAAGTGTACATCCATGAAAACTTCTTTTATAACAACCGTTTAAAATCCAGGCATGTATTCTAGATGAGCGACAACTTTAAACGATTTAGTGGTTTCGGGAGAGCACTGATTTGAGGTAGGAGGTGGGGTATGGTACCCGAAAGAAGCGTCTGGGAATGACAAGGTGGACAAAGGATATCAAGGACACCTGGGCAGTACATTTGAGGACGGGAGAAATTTGGCAGGACACCGACGAGCGGCCTTTCTGGCATGCTGTGGTCAGTGCCACGTTTTGGACAAATCTAGCTACAGAATAACCTTTATGAAGTGAAGTTAGGCTGAGTCTGGCTACAAACTTTAGCAAAATGTCCTGGTTGTTTGTCCATTTAATTACTTTAGCCTTGTTGCAGACTTTGAGTTTTGCGTGCATGTCCATTTGACAAATCTGTCTTATTTGTGTGCAGATTGTTGTTTCCTTGCCTGTCAGGCAGATGTATCCCGACTCCCCCCACCCCCCCCCCCCCCCCTCCCTAAAAAAACGTTAGTCGTCTTTTTTTGAAATTCTTGTTAGTGACAATGGGGGAGGGAAGGGAGGGGGGGGGGGTGGTCTATTATTTTCTTTTACCTCCCCCCCCCCCCCAAACAAAAAAAAAAAAAAAAAAAAAACTATGGGGCCCCTGAATCTAAACAGTAATGTTGAAAATTGATTCGAGAATCGAATTCAGCATGTGGGACATTTCCATAAGCGCTCCGATCTCATCTTCAGCAGGCAACGAAGAGTTCTAATTCAGGTGCTATCAGTAACCTCATGAAGATGGTGATGATGATGATGAGGACTATGATAATATCATTGATGATGAGGAGGAGGAGGACGAAGATGATGATGATGTTGATGATGGTAACAATAATGAAGATGATGACGATGTTGTTAATGTTGGTGATGATAATGATAATGATGATGATGATGACGATGTTAATAATTATGATGATGATGATGATCAGAGCCTGTATGCAGGTTCTCATGCAGTTTATTATCGTCCCGCTAGGAATCAAGGAAAGCTTGCAGGCCATTGAATTGAGGACGCTACCTGTGCTCATAATGAATGTTACTGACGCGAGCAAAAATATCACAGACTTATACAGTCGCCTTGATACGGTGAGACGTGTTTCATGTACTTACTTGTTTAAATAATTCTGGCTTTCACAAAGGTCAGCCACCTTCAAACATATCAATCAATTAAAGCTCTGTGAAGTGTGAAAAACAAACAAGCAAGAAGCAGAAGCAGATCTTTATATTTAGATTACGTACTGAACACAACGAAACCTGCAGCCAAATGTGTACCAGAAATTGTAGATTGGGTATTCAGAGCTTTGCCCCTGAGAACAGGCTCCACAGAATACTAAGTATGTGCTACAACATGTTCTCTACGTGCAATAGACAGATCACATCGATTGGGCCTGGTGGCATTCCAATGAAAGCCAAGCTGTGTGGGAAAGTGGAAGACATGCGTCGCTCAACAGACTTCATTTGCTAAACTGTAAGAATTCGGCATGCATCATCCTTGTTTACAGTGTGCCTGGAATTTAAAATATGGCATGCAATTGATGATGATGGATTTGGTCGACCAGTCACCTGATTCGTTGTTGTTGAATTGTTAGTCTAAATTCAGTGCACACTGTAAACACATATGATGCATTTCGAATTATGTACAGTTCGGCAAACCGTAGATTACTTAGATTCACGAAAGCGTCCTGCATCAGCCTGTTTAGACCATAATTATGCAGACAAAAGGACATGCTTTTCACTTTGCAGTTACCCATGTAAAACAGACCGTTTGTGATTGTAGTCGATTTTGTGTTTCAGTTCCAAGAATTTGTTTATTTGCTTCATTTTAATTAATTATTACTGCAGGACGCAACTAACGAAATACAGCGAAGTATATCAGGCAATAAACTGTGCAATTTATTGTTTATGTCTTCTGTGTTCTTCCTCGTATAAATCATTGCCGAAAAAGATTGTCGTATTCATGGGTTTGCTATGGTCTGTCTAGCCTGTTATCTATCATTGCTGATACAGCTTATCTTCCATGCCATGATGACAACATGTCTAGCATCTCTCTTGTTCTTTTCCTGCCTGTCTTTAGCCCCTGTGATTTATCTGTTGCAGATGTACGCCAGTTTTCCGTTATGAAAAAGAATGTGATCCATCTCGTCTAACGCTATTATTTAGCTGGTTGCTGGAGCCATATTTGTATAGACCAACTTACATACTTATGGGTGTGTGCGTGCGTGCGCCTGCGTGCATGTGCCGCTTGTGTTATGTACGATGTGTCCGTTACTTGCTGGTGCCACATTGTGTGTGTGTGTGTGTGTGTGTGCATGTATTTGTGTGATTGCCGCTTTGTTACATTAATATTTTACTTCAACAATAATTGTGTAAATAACTGTAAATATCATTACGTAGCTGTTAATCTTTCCCCAGTGCTGCGGAGACACTCCAGTGGTAGAAACAACCCTACCATCATCATCATCATACTCCTCACTGTCATCACAAGTACTGTCATCACAAGTACTGTCATCACAAGTACTGCCATCAACACAAACTGCGGCAGTAACAGGTAATTTCTCGCAACGTTAACGTGATCACAACCAGCAATCATTTAGACACACCATTTGTATATTTGACTGTGTGCAACACCACAAACTGTGGCATATAATGAGAGGCGTAGGTTTTCCAATTCATCTTAATGGAATTTCTCAACCATGAACAACGAGCAGCAGTCAGAATAGCTGGTGAAACATCAGAGTGGTTTGAAGTGCAGAAAAGAGTGAAACAGGGCTGCATTCTTTCGCCGTCCTTTTAAACATATATGCTGAAAATGTTATGAGAAACAAAACTAGCGACGAGGCATGTGAGACATTTGATCTATAAAAATTGGAGGTAATCCCATCCCAGAACTCAGATATGCAGACGACACAGTTCTACTTTCCACCAGTGTACAAGGTTTAGACAAATTAATTATGGCCGTCAGCGAAGAAGTAAATTTTTTTTCCTGAATTTAGTTTAAAAAAAAAAAAATCATGTCTTCAGTAAATACAACACACCGATTACAGATCACAATCTAAAATGAAAAAATAGAAAATATCTTAGGACCTAATTTTTTGTTATTTGAAGCCCCACTCTGGCTTTTGCCAGGGGCCGCGATATAGGCAGGCCATCAATATGGCCAATTGTCTGAACGCGGTTTCTGGGACCTCTCCACGGTGATCCTCATCCGCATGGTGGCACTTTGTGTCATCGGGTGTTTATCGCTTGTGTGATGACCTGGTGGGGTAGAAAGTCAGTCAGTCAAATAGAAAATGTAACAGATTTCGAATACTTGCGCTCTTTAGTGAACAACAGTGGAGACTGCTGAAAAGAATTCAGAAGAAATCTTGCATTAGCAATGCAAAGATTTAACAGCACGAAGAAATGTAGCATAGCACCTGTATACTCATTCATTCAGTAGCATGTCCCTCGCGGAACCTCGCTGCCATAACAACCCTCCGGAAAACCTTCCTATCATGAGCAAGATGTCCTGCGTCTGATACACCCATCTGGAGATCATCTGCCACATCCTGCACCCATCTTCTCCTTGGCCTTCCTCTTCCTCTCTTCCCAGGCATATACCATTCCATTATTGTTCTCTCTAGACTTCCATGACGTTTCAAGTGACCAAAATATTTCAATTTTCTTTGTTTTATTGTCTTTACTAGCCAACCCTATTCAATATTCAGCTCTTGAAGTATGGATGCATTTGTTCTTTTCTTTACCCAAGATATTCTTAGAACCTGTCTGTAACATTTATATTAAAATGCATTTATGCGCTGTTCCGCTTGTTTAGTAAGTGTACCTGTATACTGGTTAAAGTAAAAATCTTGAGATCATACATTTCTTCTGTGGCAACTGACAGTTGTGAGTCCTGGACTCTCACTCAGTTACTGAAGAAAAAAAAATGTTACAGAAAAATTATCAGAATAACACGGAATAAGAAGAGGAAAAACATTTACATTCTTGGCGAGTCGTACGTCGAGAACTGGCTCATAAACAGCGTCCTGTCCGGAAAATTGAAGTATTTTGGCCACATCAAGCGTCATGGTGGCTTGTAAAAGACGGTGATGAAGGTAGCAGTTTGTGGAAGGCGAGGCAGGGGTCAACCACCGTGAAGATGAATATGGGACACTGAAGATGCATTGGTTTTGAAAGTGCATGGGTCTGGAAAGCTGGCTAGGGAAAGGGATACAATCCTCTGTACATATGCTTCCTAGATATTTGAATTATCGTACTTGTTTGTAGTGCCCTTAACATGAACGTTCGTGGTATTATGTTTCCTGCCAGTCCTCATTACCCCAGTTTTGGGGCGTTTATTCTCATATCATACTTTATGCAGGTTTGATGTAAGGAGTCAGTATGGTGTTTTAAATTTTGTTCTTGATGTATTAAACACTGATCGTCTACAAAAAGAAGTTCATTGATTTGCGTCTCTTGTCATTCTATCCATGTGAGTAATGAATAGCAGTGCTGAGAGGACACATCCCTGTCTGACACCTGATGAGATGGGAAACCAGCTTGCCACTCCTTCTGTTGTTCGTACTGTGCACTGAATGTCTCGATAAAGAGCAATGATGTTACCCAACAGTTTATCTTGAATACCATGAAACTTCTAGAATTGTTTATAGTCTGTACCTAATGACTCAACCAAATGCCTTTTCTAGATCTATAAACATAAGAGAAAATATTTGGTCGAGTCAGTAAAACAGGAAATTTCTAGAGAAGAGACTAACATACAGTAATGGTGTCATTCCATCTATATCTATATCAAAAGAAGAGATCACCATATAGTTAACGTGTTCTATCTTTATCTGTGTCAAGAGAAGAGACTATCATATAGTAATCGTGTTACTGTGTTTATATCTGTGTCAAGAGAAGAGAACAATACAGTAATCGTGTCTCTCTGTCTGTATCTACATCAAGAGAAGAAACCATAAAATAGTAATCGTGTTACTGCGTCTATATATTTCAAGAGAGGATACCATCATATAGTAACTGTGTTACTCTGTCTATGTCTATGTCAAAAGAGGAAACCATCATAAAGTAATCTTGTTACCTTGTTTATATCTCTGTCAAAAGAAGAAACCATCATAAAGTAATATTGTCACTCACTCTCTATATCAAAACAAGAGAGCATTTTGCAGTTATGGTGTCCCTCTTTTCATATCTGTATCAACAAAACAGACTACAGAAGAGACCATCACAAATTAATAGTGTCACCGTTTCTCTAACTATACATAGAAAAGAAACCACAAATTAATTGTTTCACCGTTCCTGCAACTGTTTCTATATAAGACACGATTACAAATCAAGGACTGCCACTCTATAACTATAAGAAGAGAATAAACCAGGAACTAATGGTTTAACTAGTCTTTCAACTGTCTCTACAGAAGAGCTGATCCCCAACTACACCGGGCCAGCATGTTTTGTGTGTGGTAACAACATCACAGAGGAGAAATGTCCTGTCACACACAGGAACAAGACAAGTGCCTGCCTTCCTCATGAACGATTTTGCATCACCGATCTCTACCAGGACGGAATGGCTCGACATATTTACAAAAGGTGTCTGTGTGACAATCGTTTTTCCAGCAGCTCCAGTCATCTGTGTGGATGTAAAAAGGTTTTCCAGTCTGTCTGTGTGATGTAATCTTGTCATCGTTTTCCAGCAGCTCCAGTCTGTCTGTGTGTTGTAATCTTGTCATCGTTTTCTAGCAGCTCCAGTACGTCTGTGTGATGTAATCTTGTCATCGTTTTCTAGCAGCTCCAGTCTGTGTGATGTAATCTTGTCATCGTTTTCCAGCAGCTCCAGTATGTCTGTGTGATGTAATCTTGTCATGTCATTCTAGTTTGTCTAGCATTGTTTTCTAGCAGCTCCAGTACGTCTGTGTGATGTAATCTTGTCATCGTTTTCTAGCAGCTCCACTCTGTCTGTGTGATGTAATCTTGTCATCGTTTTCTAGCAGCTCTAGTCTGTCTGTGTAATGTAATCTTGACATCGTTTTCCAGCAGCTCTAGTCTGTCTGTGTGATGTAATCTTGTCATCGTTTTCCAGCAGCTCTAGTTCATCTGTGTGTTCTGTCTGTGTGATGTAATCTTGTCATCGTTTTCCAGCAGCTCTAGTTCATCTGTGTGTTCTATCTGTGTGATGTAATCTTGTCATACGTAACTCTGTCTGTGTGATATAGGACTGCTAGGCTCTTGCCATGATGCAATTTCTAACATCTCTAGGCTGTGAGAAATAATTAGCATTCCAGTCTGTCATGTGATGTAATCTTGTCATCGTAGTTCTCTGTGTGAAGGTTTCTAGCAAGTTGTCTGTGTGACGTACTTGAGTTTTCTAGCACATGACGAGAGAGGATGCTGTTGTGTAATATGTGATTTTAGCAGATCAGTCTGTCTGTGTGTGATGTAATCTATCATCGTTTTCTATTGCACAATCTTGATATCGGTATTCCTATGCGTGCTCAGTCATCTGTGACATCGCAGCAACCACTCTGTCTGTGTGATGTAATTTCTACTAAATTTTCACATGAGAGGTTGGTTATAATGCCTCGTACTTCATCCTGGAAGGCGGCATAGACGTGATTCACCATGGTTTACTTCCATGTTCCGCAATCGTGTCAGTATCAGAGATTCCTAATTACCCACTAACTGCGTCCGTAAAGCGTTTATGTTATCTGCTCTGTCTATGCTTCTTCCCACATGCGTTGGTGCATTGCTTGCCAGCTGGCCCGCTCGCTCGTTACCCTTTACGCCCGCATGTCCAGGTGTGTAGATCTAGGTGAGGGAGCTCAGGTGGGAATTTCGAATACATTCTACCCACTCAGAGCACATACCGTCTATTGCTAGCTTCTGAAGCATATCCAGGGAGTCAGATACAATTACTGCCTGTACGGCTGTTTGAGACGCCGTCTGGAGGTGACAGGTTCAATTCCCGGCACGGTAACTATAGCTTTCGATTTATATGTTGTCTATTGTGTTCTTCTATCTACTTCTTTCTATGAGTGCCAATCAATACACTTTCTGTTACTTGAATAATCTCTAGAAGCAGCGGCTATCTCCATTGTCACATTTGAAGTGGATGCATGGTGAGAGCCGCTGTCCTCTTGTATTGTTTTCTCCATCCGTTGCGCTGTGTAGGCCAATGCTAACCTTGATCCGCACTTCACAGATCCATCTTTTTAGATGAGGATGTCTTCTGAGTGTGAATGCTAATCTATCAGTGCCCTTATCCCTATGTCTACGGCCACAGGAGTCTGATCCCTGCTGTACATTCCCAGTGCGATGACAACCTTAGAGATGTTATGCATGTCTACTGGTGTACTCGTCCAATTCTTTCAGTGACCGATCTTGTCTAGGTCGCACAATTGCTGGGTTACATCTTCAGCCTTCGCCATCCAGGAGCGGCCTCTTTTGGATGTTTATGAGCCAAATCTCCTTGATATTCAGAACATGTAGGATGTCGACCTTTTTTTTGTCCTCGATCCATGGTATTCTAAGAATATTTTTGTAGCATTTCAGTTCAAAATGCTCCGATTTTCGTCTTCAAAGACTGAGCAAGAGAGAGAGAGAGAGAGAGAGAGAGAGAGAGAGAGAGAGAGAGAGAGAGAGAGAGAGAGAGAGAGAGAGAGAGAGAGAGAGGATCTAAAAATCTTAAAATATAAGAAAATTCATAAGATTCTAATAGTGAAGAAAACTGGCTCAAAAACAGTTACAAGTCTCCACGTATTTAAACATTTTGAACGAATTGAAACATCATAGTTTGTTTTTCTCAGGAAATATTGTAGCAGAAATTATTGCTCCTGAAAGTAGAGAAGGTGATTTAAAAAAAAAAAAAGACAACTTATAACTCAGAATATTAAAGACACCTTGGGTGTGACAATGTGTCGGACAGGCGAACAAGGGAAGCATTTCCCTTGCTGTGATAAGAGCAAGCGTTTAAGGGGTCACTACACGGCATTTTTTCCAATTCATGACAAAAATATTACTTTTTCAATGTGTTCATTTTTGTAAAGTTCGGCATTCGTAGAATAGATTGCAAACACAATTTGTGTCATTTGTAAACAATTTAACATTGAAAAGTTGATACTAAAGACACCAACCCATGCACTTTTTTAATAAAAAAAAAGTTTAAAAGTCACTCTTCTAACAATTCTATTTTTTGTTGTTGTTGTGTGTGGGATCTCCTAAAATCTCAGCTAAAATAAGGACTAGAGACGTGAAACTTGGTGTGGATACTCCTAACACAATATTATAGGGTCAGGTCTACTTAAAAATACAGTTTATTATGTAATTCTTTTTAAATGGGATTATTATCTTAAAAAGCTACATTTTTTTTTTTTAAACATACCTAAATTTTAATATTCCTAAAAAAATATTTAGAAACATCTTTGAAGTAAATACACTAGACCTGCCCTAAACATAGGTTTAAAGTTCATGAATCAATCATTTGTTTCTCAATACCTCTGTTTGTTTTTGAAATGTTAGCTGTCTAAGTACATGTTGTTTTTTTCATCAAGATGGCGACTGATGCCTTGGCAACCATGTTTTTTTTTTTAACTTAAAGTCTACAAATGTATCAGCATACCTCCCTACAAATGACCATATACAATAATTAGTCTAACATTGTAAATTTAAAAAAAAAAAATTAAAAATTTCCTGTAGTGTCCCGATTTGCTTCACGTGAGTATTATGGTGACGATACCATGGTATTATAGTGGCGATACCATGGTATTATGGTGGCTATACCATGGTGGTAATAGTAGAATTTAAATTTGGATCATGCGAGGATCATCTCGTGAAATCGATTCACATCGTTGAATCGTTATTATAATTGTTCCCAGGACCATGTAGTCGATTTTTCAGGATATGAGGAAAGTTGAAACGCAGCCCATTAAATGTTCGAATTGTTTTTTTTATTTCACTGCTTTTGACGCCCCTTACGGTGTCGCCTGATTCGGCCGCATCTCTGTATCGTAGCACAGTACGGCACTGATTCTATCTTGTTATTTGTTCAACTTATGGTTATAGCAGTTCAACGCGTTATGCAAAGACAAATGTAAGGAATAACGATTCTGAACCACCTTTTATCATGGAATGAAATGATGTCAACACTCAATTTTATTAATGCTATGTAGAATGAATGATGTCAATAGTCCTAAGAGCGAGTGGGCAAGGCACTAGATGAAGATGTTGGTTTTGCTTTGTCTGCTTCTGTCTTTGCAGGACGGATAACATGTGGCGTTGTTGTTGTTTACAGCTAGGCTGCAGTATCTTCATGCGCGATTTGGCACATCATAATTAGTCTCATTTTTTTTTTCGACATGATTTCATGGAGGCAATAGGTCACTTCTTGTCCCCCCCCCCCCGACCCACCCCACTCCTCCCCACCACCACCACCACCACCCCCACCACCCACATGGACTCGTGACTAACGTAGTAGGATGATGACAATGAGGAAAATTATGAACATGATGTTGATTATAAAATTGACAATGATAATGACAACGACGACAACGACGGTGACGATGATGACAATGTTGATGATGATAACGTAATGTTACTTCACAAGATCTCATCCTATGCATGTGTCTCCTTGTCTACAATTCACCACCAACAGTAGCTCTGCTCTATCTTTCCCACCAGGTGCGCGACGGAGAAAGAGTGCAAACAAGACGCAGCCAAGTCCTCGGCACAGTGCAAAACTTACGACTTCAGGAAACCCTCAGTCATAGAGTGCCACTTTTGCTGCACGTCCATTCTCTGTAACTCGGACATCAGGCCACCAAAGGACTTGCTTTAAACCTTCCGCCGTTATCGTTTGTGACATTGTTTTTTAATCCCTCTAAAACAATTAAATTTTCTTCTAGTATTACTGCGTGTTTTTTGAATTATGCATTGTTTAATGTCATCATCATCATCATCATCATCATGAAGCAGGTCCTTTGCATAACGTCGCTCTCATCACAGTCTGCCTGAAAGAAACTCGGTCTCTCGCCAGCTCTCCCGCCTCATGTACTTTCATACTCAAGGAGTCACTTATATCCTGTGCCCATCTTCGTGTCGGTCGGCCCTGCCCCTCCTTCCTGGTACCATGCCTTCTGCTATAATTTTTTCCAGTCCGTTGTGGCGCTTGATATGACCAAAATATTTCAGCTTCCGAGAAAGGATGCTGTTTATTAGCCAATCTTCCTTGATGTTCAGATCATTTAAGATGTCAATATTTTTCCTCTTCTTTGTCCAAGATATTCTGAGAATCTTTCTATAGCATTTCAGCTCAAAAGCCCCTATTCTCTTTCTTAAAGACCGTATGTAGCCACAGGGAAGATGCATGCTCACAAAATTCTAATTTGTATCTCTTTGCTGGTAGTTAACCATAGACTTTTAAGAATGTTCAATCTTTGCGTTGCTATGGCCATCCTCCTTTTAATTTCTGTCGAACAGTCTCCATTGTTGTTTATTACAGAGCCTATGTATTCAAAGTTTGTGACGTTTTAAATTAATTTTTTAATCTTTTATTGTTATTTGTGGGTGACAGCCAGTTTTATCTGTGGGCATTATTT